GACCCCTGAGGAACACCACTTGTCACTGCTCGCCACTTGGACATCGAGCCATTGACTGCAACTCTTTGAGTGCCACTGTCCAGCCAGTTCCTTATCCACCGAGTGGTCCATTGGTCCATCGGTCAAGTCTGTGTGTCTCGAATTTAGAGACCAGGATGTTGTGCAGAACACTGTCAACTGCTTTGCTCAAGTCCAGGTGGATGGCGTCTGTTGGTCTTCCCTTGTCCACCAACACTGTAACGCCATCATAGAAGGCCACCAAATTTGTCAGGCACGATTTGCCCTTAGTGAAGCTGTGTTGTCTGCTACCAACCACTTCCTTACTTTCCATAAGCCTTAGCAGAGTTTCCAGGAGGATCTGCTCCATGATCTTGTGGGGCGTAGAGGTGAGACTGACTGGTCTGTAGTTCCCCGGGTCTCCTTTTTTACCCTTTTTAAAAATGGGGGGTTATGTTTCCCCTTTTCCAGTCAGTGGGAACTTCACCAGACTGCCATGACTTACCAAATATGATGGATGGTGGCTTGGCAACTTCATCTGCCAGTTCCCTTAGGACCTATGGATGAATCTCATCAGGTCCCATGGACTTGTGCACCTTCAGGTTCCTCAGCTGGTCTTGAACCTGGTCTTCTCCTACAGTGGGCGATTCCTCACTCTCCCAGTCCCTGCCTTTGCCCTATGTGACTTGGGCAGTGTGGTTAGAGCCCTTCCCAGTAAAGGCTGAGGCAAAAAAGTCATTGAGTATCTAAGCCTTCTCCATGTCCTGGGTGACCAGGTCTCCTGTTTCCTTTCTGAGTGGGCCCACATTTTCCCTAGTCTTCCTTTTGTCACTTATATACCTATAGAAGGCTTTCTTGTGCCCCTGGCCAGATCTAACTCCATCTGGGCTTTGGCTTTCCTAGCCTGATCCCTGGCTGCTTGGACAATTTCTTTGTTTTCCTCCCAGGCTACCTGTCCTTGCTTCCACCCTCTGTAGGCTTCCTTTTTCTGTTTGAGATTGTTCAGGAGCTCCATCTCCATCCATGCAGGCCTCCTGGCATTCTGCCTGAGTTCCTCTTTGTTGGGATGCATCGCTCCTGAGCTTGGCAGAGGTGGTCCTTGAATATTAGCCAACTTTCTTGGGCCCCTCTTCCCTCCAGGGCTTTGTCCCATGGCACTCTGGCAGGCACATCCCTGAGGAGGCTAAAGTCTGCTCTCCTGAAGTCCAGGATTTTAAATATAAATATTAGGGTACAGAAAATCCTGATGTTTCAGGTGACTGCATGCATATACGTTTCCTTAAGGTCATTAGTGGAAAATAAAGATTTTCTCAAAATAAGCTTTGAGAATGAAGTCCAAACATACACAGCAACAATTACCTGCTTCCCTCTACCCGGCTGCATTTCTTGAGGGCCAGCCTTGGACTGATCATAGTATGTGCTTGTTGGTTTTCCAAAAAGTATATCAGGCTAAAATACATTACATGTTTTGCAGTGGGTTGAATTCACATCGTCAAATTCATTGCTGTATTTATAGTAAAACCAGTATGCTGAAACATTCAATCAGTGGTAGTTAATTTTATGGAATGTAGATAAATTTTAGTGTCATTTGGGCCCCTATGATCTTCTTAGATTGATGGTTAACCTTCATAATCACTAAAAGGTAAAACTTCATCCAAAACTTCAATCCAAGATTGTGTGTTTGGTAATTTACCTGATTTATTTCCATCCTTATATAAAATGCACAGGTCGCTCTTTTAAGCACACTAGTACTTTAAGTTTAAGTGAAAGAATATGGTGTTCAGGTGACTTGTCTTTCTCATTCACGTCCAGTCACTGTCCTAAGATGTTGGTGAGCTCTGCCAGTACTGAGGATTAAACATACACGGTAATGGAGTTGTTTTGTAGTAGTGCTTTGTGCAAATGACATTGACATTTTTGAAGACCAGCCAATCTCACAAACAAAATATTGAGAGAAAGATTTCTGAGAGACTGTTGAATATTGCTTTTAAAATATCTTTTTGTCAGTTGTATTTAATATTCCATTAAAAATTCAAGCAAATTTCAGAAGAACAGCTTTTTAGATTTACTGCAAGCTAATTTTACCTTCAGAATAAAGTGGCTGGATGGCAGCAGGTTTTGTGCTTCAATATTGTTTTGTATAGTGGCACATTGAAAAGCGCGCTTATGCCAATAAACATTTTAATGATTTTTCATACTTACATTTTTAAGCTCCAGCAGAATGCAGCACATTCTGTACCAAATGCTTAGTTCAGCCAAAGAGATCAAGTTTTGTTACAGCTGACTAAACTTACAAAAAACTGTTTACATTTCACATTTATTCAAATAACTGCATCTAGAGCTGAGTAAAAGAAAAAGGCTTTTAGTGCCTGCTGAAGTCAAAATTCATCTTTTATAGTTTAAGAAGTTTTACTCTTGTAATTTGGGTGTCACTGTTCTGGGTTTTTTCCCTTCTTGGAGTTGACTCCCGTATGGGCTTCATTAGGACCGAATAAATCACAGAGTCAGGGCAGTGTCTGATGTGGTCTGTGCGAATTGCTCTCGTCTGTTTTGTTGGCTGAGCTTCGCTTCGTTTGACTATACTCAGGCGCTTGCATTTAAAGTTAAGCATGTGCACATTAATTCCACTGAGTGGGAAAGGATGACTTGCTGCTTGAAAGCTTTGCGGAATTAGAGGCTGAGAGACTGCAGCTTTTTCAGTGCTGTTACCACTGTGACAGACACGTAAGCCACCGCTGCTTTCAGGGGGAGAATTGTGCCAAATAAGCCTTTTTAATGACATGACTGAAATAATATCAAAACTTTCAAAATATAGTTCCTCATTTAAAATTATAGTCCTAGTTAATCACAAGCAAAGGAGTGTAGATTGAAGTTTTTACATAAACTTTTTTTTTTCCTTTTAGCTTATTAAAATTCCCAAAGTTGATCTGCCAAATGAAGTGCATAAATTTAACTTCTACTTGTCAAATGTTGGCAAAGATAATCCTCAGGGAAGCTTTGACTGTGTCCAGCAAACGAACTCAAGGTAAGCTTTACTTAATGTTTTCTTTCATGGCAAATTTAAGTAGATCCCATGGCTTTGAACATCTAGCAAAAACCTTTAACAGAAGCATGCTCCTAGTGATGAGCTGCAGTAGAAAATTAGTTCCTAGCAATAGCCTGATTTCTTGCTAATTGTAAATACTTGCTTTTACATAGAATTCTTTTTGGTTTTGCTCTTAAAAAAGTAACCTTTTGAGTACTTTCTCACCTCTTACTGCTATTTTTAAAAATATTTGGAGTTCAGCATTGTCCAGGCTAGACCAGATCCATTCTACAACCATATGTAAATAAGATTATGGCTGGCAGCATGCTAGCGTGCTGGCTCTGACAGCTAGTTGTCTTATTTTAAGAACCACATAAGTCAGTGACCTTATCCATAATTGCATGACCATGGTGTTTCAGAACGCAAACATAATACAGCAAAGCCTTGTTCTGGTCCTTTGAGTCAAAGTGAGCAGTGTTAACATCTACCAAAACGGCAAGAAAATACCGTTCTTTTGCATTAAGTTTGCCTCAGTTTCTAGAATATAACGTTCAGCGTAGTGTCAGTGCAGTCCAGTGGTGCTGAATAACTGTTTGTCCCATTTGATTAACTAGGACATCACAGGTAGAGTTTGTGTATTGATCTGGGAAACTGATAACAAACAGGCACACCGACATGTCTCCAAAAGGCGCTGCTCAGGTTCTCGGTCACACGAGAGCTTCTGCCCTCAATTTCAGAACAGAGATTTGTCTAGATAGTGGGTTGTGGGAGCAATAAGAAAATGAGCTGATTTAATAGCTGTCTGCCTTACAGGACATCTCTCAGCATCCTCATCCTCCTCTTTCTCCCCTTGCATTAGGTCTCTTCTACTACAATACAGCCTTTCAGTGAACTCACTTAACTGATGGGATTGGCATAAAGCCAAATGGCTTAGAGGCAGACCTGGGGAAGCCTGGAGCAGTGTGGGGTCTTTTGGGGTTTTCTTTGGATTAAACTGTATCCGAAAGGGGTCGGACAGCTGCTGAGGCTGGCACAAAGCAAGGTGAGAGGTCCTGTCTCTGCTCCTGGCTTGCCGCTCCCAAGCATCTCAGAGGGCACCTTCTTCTTTGAGAAGGAGCACCTTCAGTTCAGTTAAACTGTATTTTTAAAGTAAAATTAAATTTAAGCTGCCCTAGCTCTGAATAATGCTGAATAGCATGCCTAGGTAGTTTTAATGTGGTTTTACTAAGCTACTTCAAAATCTAATTCAGGCTACCTTTCAGAGTCCCTTGTAGCCAGTTCTCAGTTTGTGCCTGCAAAGTTAAAGCAAAACTTGTGGTGTTACACACAGAGTTGTTAAAAAAAAAAAAAAAAAAGGCAAAAAAAAACCCACAAAAAAACCCCAGAAAGGACCTCTGCAGGGTATCTACTCTGATTCTGTGCTCAAGACAGGTCTAGCTTCAAAAACTGGCTCGGATTTTGAAAATGTCCAGCCTGAGGAGGGCCATCTTGGTCAGTGCACGGCTGCTCCTCTGGTGGAAAACTGCATAAAGGCAGCGACGTTCGAGGAAATGGGCAATGGGTAAAAGCTATGCTTTAGATGTCAAAAATTTACCTTTTTTTTCTGTTGTAAATACACTGATTTTCGAGCAAAGAATCAATACATAGCTCTAGACTATGGAAAAAACTGTAGCTCTGTCATCTTGAAATATTGTCCAGTGGCTTGGACAAGCTTTGCAACTTTCAGAAACGACGTGGTATGTTGAGACAGGAGATTCTTGACCCTTCATGGAGTCTTGATGAGGAGTTTTAGGGTGATTAAAGGGTTTCAGGTTAGCTAAAGGCGGTGTCCTTTCTCTGGTGAGAGCTGTTGCAATGGTGGGTGCTGCGCAGCGTACTCATTAAGAGCAGTGATAATTAGGTCGGTTTAAACGAAGCTGGTGTTAGTCAGTCGAGGTGCCCTCCTGTCTGGGTGCCGTGTGCTGTGGGAGCGCCTTTGGACTGACCATGGAGGGCCGTGCTCCTCCAGAAGCGCCTCCTGAAGCCCAGCGGCCGCCCTGACGCTATGGAGAGGACCTCGCTGTCCTTCCCCTCTCGCAGGGTTTGCTCGGAGTGCCTCTGCTCAGATGTGAATCCTCGGAGGAACAGGCGGGTGGACCACAGCACTCCGCAGTGCTGTCCATCGCGCAAAGCGGGTGTGGAGGAGGGCGGACATTTGGAAAGCAAGATGAGGGGACGCTGGCTTACCCTATAGAATCATAGAATCGTTTTGGTTGGAAGAGACCTTTGGAAAGGGATCTTTAAGATCATTGAGTCCAACCGTTAACATAACACTGCCAACTCCACCACTAAGCCGTGTCCCTCAGCACCGCGTCTGCCTGTCTTTTAAATGCCCCCAGCAATGGCGACTCCACCCCTTCCCTGGGCAGCCTGTTCCAATGCTGGACAACGCTTTCCGTGAACAAGTCTTTCCTGATACCCAAGCTAGAGCTCCCCTGGGGCGACTTGAGGCCGTTCCCTCTTGTCCCATCGCCTGTTCCTTGGGAGCAGAGACCGCCCTCACAGCTCCGTTGCCCTCCTCTGGACCCTCTCCAGCACCTCAGTGTCTGTCTTGTCGTGAGGGGCCCAGAACTGAGCACAGCACTCGCAGTGGGTCCCTCACGGGGCCTCACGGGGCCTGAGGCCACCACAGCCCACCTCGGGTGGAGGAGAGGAGAGGAGAGGAGACCGGTGCCGAGCTGAGAGCTGGGCGGCCGGCGCAACTCCACCAGGGCAGGAGCTGCGGGCTATTAGGGTGCCCGTGTAACTGCCCAAGTTGTCTCTGTAGTTGTCATTTAAAAGCATCACATAAGACCCCCTCTGCTGGGAGGACAGGCTGGGAGAGTTGGGGGGGTTCAGCCTGGAGAAGAGAAGGCGAAAAACGGGAGAGCTCAGAGCCCCTTCCAGTGCCTGAAGGGGCTCCAGGAGAGCTGGGGGGGACTCTGGATTGGGGAAGGGAGCCATGGGACGAGGGGGAACAGTTTTACACTGAGAGAGGGGAGACTGAGATGAGATATTAGGAGGAAATTCTTGGCTGTGCAGGTGGTGATCCCCTGGGGCAGGTTGCCCCGAGAAGCTGTGGCTGCCCCATCCCTGGAGGTGGTGTTCAAGGTCAGGTTGGACGGGGCTTGGAGCAACCTGGGCTGGTGGGAGGTGTCCCTGCCCAGGGCAGGGGGTGGCACTGGATGGTCTTTAAGGTCCCTTCCAACGCAAACCATTCTGTGGTTCTATGATTGCAGCAGTTATCAGTACAGTCACCACCATTGCCCTGAGCCTGTCTCTCAAACACAGTTATGTAAGTAAATATAATTAGACCAACAGGTAAAACTGATAGAATTTGGATGTGTGGAGATAATTACAAATATATTTACACCCTAGCTAGCTGTCAGAACTGGAAGATGTTTTTCTTCACCTGTTCAGACAGGTTTTAAAGTTCTTGACACGACCATACTTCTAAACCTGAACTAGTGCTTGGGCTCACACTTTTTCAATGTTTTTATAGTTCTGGAGCCTTGCAACTCAGTTGCCTGGGATCTATACAGAATAAAATTACAGTATGTGCAACAAGTGATTCCTATCTGACGACCAGAGAGCGCGTGACCCAGGCGGAAGAAGAATTGCGCAATCGAAGTGCAAAGGTTATTAAACCTGGTGGACCATTTTTAGGTATGGTTGTATTTCATTTTCTACCAGATGTCTGTAAGTTTTCAAACTCAGTAATCCATCTTTTAGCATATTCTTGGGAAAGGTGGTGTGTTCAGAGATCTCAGGTGTAGGTAGCCTGCCTGGAAATCGGATTTGCAACTTCCCGTTCCTACATTTGGACATTAGCCTTTTTTTCCCCTAGAAAGCCTGCCAGTCCTTCCTTGGTCACATATTGCTTGACTAGTTGAAATTTTGACTATTTTTGCACTTTTTTGACAATTTTGCACTTTTAAAGTCTCTGGTTTAGTAGCTAATGATTTGGTTCTGTAACAGCACTTTTGAGTACCTAAATGCTGTGCTAAACCATTAACCTTAACTTGTAATCTAAAAAAAATAACATTGAGGAAGTCTCATATACAAATTCATAACTTCAATATGAAAAACTTTGCTTTTCACACTTGCTAATGCTGATTAAATTTTATTTATTTTATGTCTTGGTCATTAATAAGCAACTATTACCACGAGGCCATAGTTTGTTTGGTTCATTGGTTTTTTTTTTAAAGTTAAAGTAAGGTGATGTTGGTGTCTTCCCATGGATTTCATCATTGGCCACAAACTAAAAAGCGTTTAGGTGGTGTCATTCATTATTAAACTGTTCTGAGTACCGTTTCCCCGAGGAGCCTGGCGCCGGCTGCAGGTAGAGGCAAGGTGAGCATCCCCCCTGTGGGCACACAGTGGCACAGGCAGCAGCAGTGTTGCCCGCAGCAGCGTGCAGAACTGGGGACATCCATCTCATTAAGTAAAACAGGCTCTCCCTTGGCTGTGACTGCAGCCCTCCACCAGCACGGACATCCACGACAGTGATGGTGCCACACTTGCTGTACCGCAGCTTACTGCCGGCAGCGTCATCACGGCTCTTTGGAGATACAAAACTACGTGTGTGTGTGGCTGTGATGCTACGGGAGCCGGGCATGGGTCAGCGCCAGGACACGGAGTTGTGGCTGCGTCTCCCATGTTGTCTAAACTGGTCTTTAATGACAGCGTGAGAGGAGGACTTAAGTGAATATTTAACACTAAATAAATGGGGTCTGAAGATTGGCAGTGGGAGGACAGGTACGGTGTTTGGGGATACTCTTGTTTTTCACACTGGCATTGACAAAGCTCAGGATGAGTTGCTGGTAGGGCACGGGGAGTGACTTTGCAACATGCTTCTTGCAGCACAAATTAGGAACTGGGGTTGTTAACCACGTTAATGGTTATATTTTCACTCAATTTTTCTGCTTTACGTGATTCGGAGATAAAACTTTAGGAGGTGTTTTGTTTGCTGCTTACAGTGTCTGCTGTGCCCCGGGTTTGTGTATCTACATTGAATTCAATTTGTCAAAACGTTTGTAATGCATTCAGTAAACAACAGGCAAGTTCATACTGTTCTAAAAGTGTAACCGTGTATGTTTGCGCAAATGGGTTTGTTCTTGAAAACCAGAAGAGCAAAGTCCAGGGAACACACAGGGTGGAAAGGTTATAAATGTTTGGCCTCCACTGCAAAATGGAAACAAATTTTTGCTATTCCTGCGGACAAGTAGTACATAGGCACAGCTCAGTCTCTGTGTGTCTGATGGAAGAGAGCAAGGTCCAGATATTCTCACCGGTACTCATTAAGTCTCCCTCATGTACCCAACATGAGTTGTTGGTTTCAGAAAAATGCCCAGGTTGTGCCACATCCTCTGTTGGATTGCAAAAAATGTTTACTACAATGATTTTCTGTAATATTCTGATAAATCCTTTTTTTCTGTCCGATAGCAAATGCTGTTTAAAAACATAAAGTACAGAAGTTTGGGTCTTTTTCTGGAAAATGGAGATTCAGGTTGGGTGGTGTTATTTTTAAATTCTGGATGCATTGCTTGCAAACATTTGCATTGTTCCTCTGATTGAGAAATGCATCTTTTTGCAGAGTTTGATCCAGAATGCTGTGCAGGCCATGTTTCAAAACTTCTCTGGCCTTGATCCCAAGAACTGTTAAATTTTTGGTGCATTGTTTCTGACAAACCTGGGCTTATTTAATAAGGGGGGGGGGAGAGATTTCATCCTAAAATATGGTGTAACTTATGGTAGCTCAAGTGAGCAACCTGGTGTAGTGGGAGGTGTCCCTGCCCATGGCAGGGAGGTTGGAACTAGATGATCTTTAAGGTCCCTTCCAACCTAAACCATTCGGATTCTATGAAGTGATTAACACCAAGAGTCGGTGGTTTCTCTAAGCAGTGATGCAATTCATTGTGTAGACTTGGTCTCCCTAGGCATTAATGTGGAATCTTCTAGCTATATGGGAGACCTTTGCATCACACTTAGAGTACTCTGAAAAAAACAAAAAAGCCTGATTTTTGGTATTCAGCTTCAGTAATCATAAGCTTGAGCTTATGAACTGGAAAAAAAAATAATAAAAGCACCATTTGTATACATAATAGGTAAAGTCTTCCTACCAGTATCACTCACTTACTAGCTTTTTTTTCATATTGACTATTTCTTTGTTAATGCCTAGCTTGATGTGTCTTTACTACCTGTATATTCTTACAGCTCTTGAAATGCTAACTAAAGACAGTTTTTAGAGTTTATCGGGTTTAGTAAAGTCTTTTAAATCAGCTTTCTTGTCTTCTCCCAAACTCCAATGCTCCAATGTCACTCTTCTTTTTTCTTTTTTTTTTTTTTTCTTTTTGTACCCTTCCTTTAGGAAAAAGAGTACAGGTCAGAAGAGTACCACAAAGCATTCCAGATGCTGTGCCCGAGAGGAAGAGGTCAACACCCATGAACCCTGCAAATATAATACGGAGGGTTCACGCACACAACGCTGTCTCTCAGCGACCGTACAGGGACAGGGTGATTCACTTACTGGCACTGAAGAGTTACAAGAAACCAGAGTTACTTGCTCGCTTGCAGAGAGATAGTGTCAACCAAAAGGACAAGAATTCCCTTGGAACTATCCTTCAGCAGGTGAGATCATCAGACTCGTGCCAACATTTTTTCCCTCATGCTATTTTAATCATAACTTTGAGGTGTGTTACTCCTGTATTTAAATGAGAAAATAGTAAACAACTTGCATAATGCTCCTTGTTTAATTCTTTCAATCAACTTTATACAGACGCCCCAAACTGCAAGTCAACATGAAGAAAGGAACCAAATATTAAATAATTTTTGAGGAGTGTTTTTGTTCTGCTACAATGGCAGACAATAACTAACTATTTCTAGCTTCATTGCTCCTAATGTCTAATTTTTTTCCTCTCTCTTTTACTTGGACTGCTTAATTGAGAGAAACTGAAATAGTTTGTCATATTGCTTAATATTTCTTGCGGGGAGTTTGTGAAGAGAAGTTTGGTAATCGCATAGGTTAGTAGTTCATGTGAACGTGTTTGGTGGCCTGTAAATGGTACTTGGCTTCTCTTGGGATCTGTTAAAATCGTAATCCAGGGAAGCATGTTCCAGCCAAATCATAAATGAAAAAGGTGGCAGTCTGATTTTGAGCATAGTGTTTCTGTGCTATCATGTGGATTGTGTCTTTATCTTACTTGAAACCAATTTTTATTCAGTACCTTTTCAAGTGTTCCTTTGAGTTAAGTCCCACTTGTAGTTCTTTATCATATCTATGAAAATTATTGGTAAGTCTATAATGTTATAGGTGAAACTTTTAAGCTGTGTGTTCAGGAGTATAACATTAATTTTCTACTAAAACAGCTCAGAAAAGGCTTCTTAAAGTATTGTAAGATGCAGTGACTCCTTGCTTACTTTTTAAGTACTCTGTGTACGCATAGACTGGGGCTGAATTATGCATGTATTAATATGCAAAGCAGGAATATTTCCTACTTATCTAGGAAAAAAGTGTTTTGGAACATATTACAGTGAATAAAATTCAATATTTATACAGCTTTGGTTGATCCCGCACTGAGTTTTAAAATACTCGTTCCTTGAATATGTTAAGTGTTATTGCTTTGTTTGCCCAGTGCAATGGTAGGGGTTTTTTTCACCCTGAAGACATATGTAATTTAACAAGAGCCATATTCTTACATACAAGTTGAAGTAGTTGATGTATACTTTAAGTTGACGGTAAAATTCCAAAAGCACAGCTCCCTAGAGGATAAAAGGTGCGAAGATTTTCTCCTGTCCCATTATGCTTGACAATATTTAAGGAGACTTTCTTGGAGTCTGTTTCCTGTATGTGATGTCAACTACCTCAGGCTACTGGTGTGCATTCAGAAATGGTCTACGCCCTGAAAAGCCTTGCTCGCGTTTTTCTTAGCTTCATAATGTTTTTTTTGTATGCATCTAAAATCAGCAGCTTGAGCTTGCTAAGATGTACTATGCATAGATTTGCTTTTCTTGGAATACAGCTTTTAATTCTGTTTTTAACAAGTGAATTACTGTTTCTGGATATCTTTGTTACTTTTAATTTTTTTCAAGCGGTGGACAGAGAGACATGCACACAGACAGGAATTAGCAATATTTATCTGTCATGTTTTGGAGGAAAAAATAGGCAGACCTGCGAAAAGTGGCGGTGATGTGTTGATGAGTTATTCAGCATTTTGTATCAGGCAAATGGATGGAGACAGTTTTTCTTCGAGGTTTTCTCTGAACCGATGTCAGGTGATGAAGTGTGAACCAGCACTTAAGGTGTCAACGGTCTCAAGGTTGTACTAGCTCATTTCGCCTTTATTAATATACTTTGTGTTTTTCTTAAGGAAGAGAGAAACCCATTTTACTTTCAGAGGTATACAGCAAGGCATGCACATGGCTTTGTCATGGCAATGGTTTGCTGTAGTGAACTCTCTGTCTGCAAAACAAAGAGTGCCCCTGGGCCCGTGCACCTCTCCTTAACCATTTTAGCACTATCTTATTTTCAAAATATAACTTGTTAGACATGAGTACAGTTACTTTTTTCCCCAGTTGGTGAAACTTGGATATGGCTTAAAACTAATGAGATAAATGAATAATTCATCTTTATACTAAAAGTAGTTGTTCACTGCCAGTTAGGTTATCGCGGATGACTGTTCAGTAGAAAGCTATAGTTTCTTGTGGCTCAGGCGCTTGCAAAAGAAAAGCAATTCTGTTTGTCAAGACAAATGATGATGTACTGTGGTCGTTTATGTGATGATGGAAAACATGCATTGTTCCAGGCACAGTCTGTGCTCTGCCATCGCAGTATAGCTATGTAAAACAAAAGAACAGCAGGTGTCTTCCTGAAGTTGAACAAATCTGAGTTTGTATCTGAAGACAGTTTTCTTCAGTTCTTAAAAAAAAAAAAGAAAAATTAGAAAAAAAAAAAAAACCAACTAAAAAAACCTAGGCCTCTCAACGTATTTCATGCTATGAAGATTTGAAGTTTTGGCATCGTTTTCCTTGATTCTCAATGCTGTATTAAAGATAAGAAAACAGATACATGGTGCAGAGAGAGGTTTTCATAGAGTGCATTTCATACCTGCCGGAGTTTGAGATTTTCTTCCATTCAAATTTCTACATCCCAAATTGACCACATTTTTTTTTTTTTAAATTGGTGCTCATTACATGAGAGCTGCTTTGGTCTTCACATCTAAAAAACCTGGAAAACTGGTGCGTGATTTTGTTTGCAGCTTTCATTTAGCTTTGCAGTGCCAATCTTCTTTCTGTAGTTTGCATTTAGGTATAATGAACATTTATTTTCTTAAATGTCTGCCTGTAGGTAGCCAGCCTGAATCCAAAGGATAATTCTTACACTCTGAAGGATTATGTATTTAAAGAAATTCAGAAAGATTGGCCTGGATACAATGAAATAGATAAACAGTCATTGGAGTTAATACTTTCTAGGTAAGTTCAGTCTCTAGGGGAAGGAAAATAGTAATTTAAAAAACTTTTTCTGGGAAATGAATGTCTATCTTCCCTATAATGAAAGAACTATAACGTAGACTTTTTGCCTTGTAACCTGAAATGCTGGGTCATCCTTACAGGAAATTAAAGTCATCTCAGAATGCCACCAGCACCAGCCATTTGGAATCTCCTGTAACTTCTAATAAAGATGCTCCATCAACTTCTCAGGTATTTTGTATTTTTTTTTCCATGCTATTTACAGTGTATTAAGATTTATCACATTTTTATATTGGTGTAAAAGCTGCGATGTGAAGCATTAATATTATCTTTAACACAGGAAAAATTGAAGCATTTATTTCTACTTGGATTATTATATTTTTTAAAGATGGTTGCATTGTCGAAACTGCAAAAAACTTATGGTCATGTAGCTTGAAGGCTGCTATACTTAGTGTTCTGTATTTGAAAATGTTTATTAAAATATTCAGAAAAATACACAATCGCTGTTGGTTCAGTGTTTTGTAAATACACCTAGATTTTTGAAGGAGACCACTCTTGTTGTGTTTGAACAGCCAGCCTGGTGGCCTCAATCGTAACTATCCAGCCATAGCACATTGACCTTGCAGAAGCCTAAACTCCCCTGTAGAGTTTAAACTTGCCTGCCGAACTTCTTGATTACCCATTATTATTACACAACCCTGTACTTTCTGTTTAAATACTTAAAACTGTTTTGTATTCCCATGTAACTTGTTTATCTTGGGGTGCAGGAAGGTCTTCTAAAGACGAGATATGCATATATTTTTGTTATATGTGATATGGTAGTTATAATGTGTAAACTGCACAAACATCCTTGTGCTAGTGTTTAAGTATAAAGCTTAGGAAGGTCTGGAATAAGGATAAATTACAGCAGTGATCCACTTGGAGCAATACTTCCCCCCCCCCGCCCCCCCCGGCATCATTGAAGCACCCATTTTGATTCAGGGTAGCCCAGGTTTCAAAAGGCAGTTCTGAATCAGCCGGTAGTACGTCTTCCTTCCCCGAGCCCCTTCAGACTTAAAATGCCTATGTCCTCTGTTCCTATCAATACAAGACGACCACGCAGACCCTTTTAGAAGAAGTTGGAAAACTCTGCATTAAAGGCATTACTTTAAGGAAAAGTTTTGATACTTTTTGTGACTAAAACTGTATTTCAGTAAATGTAATTGCAGTCTGAAGAACTTGAGAGCTTGTGTGTGTACAGCAATAACCTGGGAAGTATGGAAAGTCTGAGATATTTGCATTTAAATAAAGAGGGAGGGCACACATCTGTTCTTCCCTGACTTTCTTCGAGTCAGAAGGTGAAATGGTGCAGGTCCCGGGGACCCGCCTTTGCACAGGCAGGATGTGGATTTATCTCAACAGGGTGGCACAGAGCTGTGCCTGGCACTCCTGGTCCGAGCTGCTGCTTGCACATCACCGTGAGCAGTGTGTGTTTGCTAGAGAAGAGGATGTGCACCAGCATTTCAGCTGGAGATCAGCTGGAACAACAACTGTAGCAAAACTGGGGGTTTTGCTTATCAGCGTTGCACTTCTCGCACTCTGATAAGCACACTGCTGCGTGCTTCTTCTTGGGGCTGCTTTGGTAAACGGCGTGGCTGTGTGACAGCAGAAGCTGACTCTTAACCCAGTATGTCCGAGCTGAAATTGGTGCTTAAACAATACCAACCTGACCTCCTCGCTTTGGTGAAGCCTTCGGTAGAGCTGCTGAAGAGAGCGTGTTTCTCCCTTTAGCTGTGGTTTTGAAGAACAACCTGCTAAATCATGATTAGAAACTAAGAATGAAATAAACCTTGTATTTAGCTGCAGCACTTCCTTGTTTGACAGCTGGTTTTAGATAAGAAAGATGTGTTTTCAACAATTGCCTGTTCAGAAATGCTTCTTTTTCAGAACGGGGGCAAAACTTAATTCTGCTGATTTTCAAATTTTTTTTTGTTTGTTTTTATTACTACAGAAATGGATTTTGAATTCTGATTTTATCGATCCTCCCATGAACAAAAAGCAGAGGATATCTCACCTGACCAGTCAAGTCCAGCCGTCGTGTGGTGGCCATTTGCCAACCTGCTGGCAGAAGGCGGCTGCCGGCCCCCCGCCGCCTCCCCCGGCCCCGGCCGCCGCTGCTCCTGCTCCCCTGCTGCTGCCTCGCACGCTCCCTCCCACCTCCAACCCTCCTCAGACCGCCACCTCCAGCTCCCCCAGCACCCCTGAGGGGCGGGGGACACAGGACCTGCCGGTGGACAGCTTCAGTCAAAACAGCAGTAGCGTCTACGAGGACCAGGAACAGAAATATACTTCTTGGACTCCTTCGGGAATCCCGGCGCCCGCCGTGGTGCAGGGGGAACCTCCCGAGTCCGCAGGGCAGAAGCATGCGGTGTTGCACAAAAAGCCCAAGGACGTCAAAGAGCATAAGGAGAAGGACGAAAGCAAAACGCAGGATACTACCAGTGTGAGCAAGGAGGGGAGACATCTTAGAAAAGAAGAAACTGCCAAGGTGAAAACGTCCTCCTGTTCCGATTCAGGTGAAGGTATTGATATGCTGCTTTTATTAACTACTATATGGGTAACGCTGGTGAAAAGGGACCAGTAAAACCAGGGACTGGAAGGGCCAGTGGTCTATTTTTTTTCACTTGCTCTATATTAATTGCCTTGCCATTATCCCTCCTCTATGGTCATGAAGAATCATATTGTTTTTCTGCCATTGCATTACATTGTAATATTAAAAAAAAAAACACAACAAAAAACAAGGTGAACTCGTTCTGCTGGATCCTTAGCTCAAATTGGGTTCATTTTTAAGAATTCTCACTCTCTGGTACAAAAAACTTTAGAACAAAGAAATCTGAAATTGATTGCTGTTGGGCAGAAACCGGTTACAGGGAAGAGCTAGGTACTAGAAAAACACAAGGAATGGAGGTGTTTTTATGTTGGGTTTTTTTTTTTTTGCTTCATTTCCAGTAAACTGGCAGTTCACTGAAACTTAGTCTGCTTTTTCCAACAGAAAGTTTTAAAGTCTGCACGCTGGAAACAAAAGCCCGTCACACATACTTGTTGTATACTAGTTCACTGAAACACATAGATCAGACATAATGTATTTTGTGATATATCACAACACAAGGTTCATAGAACTCGGCCTTTTCATGGAAGGTCTAAAACCTATGCAAATTGGCGTGTAGTTTACTAGAGTTTTGGTTTGAACTGTGCTGTGAGCTCCACTCCATCCTAGGTGTAGAACTTACGACTTCGAAAGATGGAGAAATGGTACACACTTAAAATGACATTGAAAAGCTAAGCAGAGATGCACAAAGAGTACTTGATTTCGTAATACACACACACACAGAGGCAGAGTTCAGTCCCTTTGTGAAATCTGAGTGTTGTCTAATTTCAGAGGTTTGACTCGCAAATTAGATGTCAGGATTAGCCCTTTTCTATCACAGCCCGGAGGCATCTTTCGGGTGTGCAGGGGGCCTCTTTGAAGTGGTGTTGTGCTCACAGATAAGGGTGCGCTTCACATTTACCCTGGACATACTACATAGTGCCCACATGGCTTGGGATTGCTTTGAAAATCTTTATGCTTGAATTTATAAGCATGCAAGTGTCTTTCTTCAGAAGCCAGTAACAAAATTCTGAACGGTTAGGAAAGGGAAAATCTGTGCAGATTTCAAATTGGTACTTACATGGAAGCTTTCTATTGGGCTGAGCCGTGTCAATAAATGCACTTGAATTTTTGGAAATGAAATTGCTCGCAGCAAAACTGTTCACATAAGTTGTATTGGACATACTGTGGCAATAGTATTACTGTTCCCATCTCTTTCAAATTTCATTCTCACTTTTACGCTTCTTTTTATACTCGTGCTGTACCATGTAATAATTTTAATATGAAAAGAATCAAGTAAATATCGCATGATAGCTCTTTTCTCTCCCCATGATTTAAAGCTCAGATAGCTTAGAGATTCGCAAGAATGATTGATCATTAGCAGAAATACCGTGTTTAAACAGTGGCAGTGTAAGATAATAATGAATATAAAGGATTGTGTGTCTTTTAAGCTTGCCACAAAACCCCAAATGAAAAGCAGAGAGATTACTGAGATAGTGAGCATTCCTTCCTGTTCCAGATAATTTTTCCTTACGGCAACTATTTTTCTTATTTACCAAAAAGATAGGGGGCTCCTGAAATGCTCCTTTAAAAAAAGGGATTAGAGATTAAGTGTATTGAGCTTTCATAATGCTGTTTAAAGGAGCAAAAGAGCAATTTACAAGTGTAAATAACTTTCAAACCCAGTATTGCCACGTTAATGAGGAGCAAGTCTTTGTTGCAGCTTATTGAAGCCTGAATGCCAGTAACTGGTATACAATGCTATTGACTTTCTTGCTTAGAAGAGTGCTGAAATAAAATCTAACTTTGGATATCCGTAATTGGCAGGGAAGGAGGGATAAAAACATGGCTTGAAGAGAACTTCAGCTTTCTACTCTCTTTCTTACTGGAACCTGGATGTTGGTGTGTCTGTGTGTGTGCGTGTATATATATGTATCTATATATCTCAAGCTGTCTTCATTGTGCAGCTACATCTGTTGCTGCATAACTTGAACTGCTGTGCAGATGCCACATCATGTCTTCAAATAAGAAAAAGCTGACCTTGGGTCACTACTGCGGTAGTGCAGAACCCGTCGAATAAAGTAGCTGTGCCCTCTTTTTAAATCCTGGTACTGTGGAGAAGGTCGTGTGAGCCCTATTACTAACTTATAGAGCTTATTGCAAGCAATTTACTGTGAGGATAAAACTCTAAAGGATTTTTTCAAGCCCATCTATTAAAAATCTGTTTATCGCAAGTGTCAAAATTCTGCTTTTCTGTAGGAGTTAAAGAAACTTGCACTGCCTCTACAGATTCTCCTTCATCAACAAGTGAACAACCGGACTACTTCATGTGAGTAAAGTAACGATTAAGCCTCTTGCCACTTATTGAAGCGGTTGAAAAATCACCTATAAAAACTCTCATTTAGCTACAAAATTGAAAATTTGCCAAAATGTAATTTTAGAATGATGACAAGTTCCTTTAAGTCATCCAGCTGTCTTCAGATACCTGGAAGTTTTAAACTCTGAGGTTGTCCCTTAATTAGTGCAGGGGAAAAGGAAGTGTTAGAAAGAATTTTTAATATACTTTAGAAGAACACCTAAAACGTTTAATTTCATTCTTCTTCAAGAACACAATAAAAAGGAATATGAATGCGCACCGTTTTCTTCTTAGAGGTGAGGCAATACAGGAGGAAAGCTGAACACTAAAATACTGAATACGTAAATTCTAACATCTTTCCTGTGTTTTCACTGCTGAGTGCATCTCAGCTGGGAAGGTGGGGAGGGAAGATGAAGTCCAGCAGGGTGTAAAGTCCAGCATTACAAACCTTACATATAAGCTAACAGGGGTTAACCATCCAAGCTATTTCTAAAGCTTTGATGTAACATGGCCACTGACTAACTTGAAGCTACAGCAGAATATCCAATTTGACCATAGAATTGCACGCAAAAGAGCTAGAGAAAATAGAAAAACCTCAATTCAGATTGTAAATTTTAGCTGCCTAATTTTGACTACAAAACAAGGTAAAAATGCATTAAACTTGCATGTGCAATGTTACATATCTACAGTGACAGGTATATTGCTGTATACAAAATTACAGAAGGACTTCCCACAAAATTTAATTGTAGCTCCTTCACAAGTTGTCAGACATCATATTAACATTCCCAAAAGTTTACCTGCTATGTAAAAAAGTTTTTCAGCCATGACAAATATTGAAGAATGCATGAAATAGCTTTACTAACAGAATCATTTGGTTGTCTAAATACTTTTTTAAAACGTTAAAAGTTTTATCAGGAGGATTTTTCTTTGCTGTTGTAAATCAGAGAACTAGCTTCTGCAAATGGCCACTGTCTAGGCTTTTTCACCACTGTTTCAAGTTGGGGGGTGACTGCAGTGGAATGACTGGAATAATTTGGTCAGTGCAGCCTGAATTTCTAATAAAATGCCTTTCTGGAGGGGGTGGGAACAGTAGGGAGTAATCTAAAGCTCTTTCCTCAGTCGGAAGGATGAGTTTGAGAAGGTTTTGATGTCCCTTCAGTGCTTAGAGCTGAAATGAGCACTATGGTAGGTAACGCCAGGATGAGCCTGGCACTCCCCGGCCGTGCAATCAGCGGCGGCACTGACCCCCCCACACCCCGTGTCGTGTCTGCAGTGCAGGGCGGGAGGGAGAAGCCTTCCAAAATGCTGCGAATCGCCAGGTTCACCAGCTTCTGTCAGAGGAGTAACGTCAGCAAGGGATGTCAGTCCTCCCCGTAGCACCTGAACTTGGGCGCATCTGCCGTCTGCGTTAAAGCAGATGGCACGGTAGCACCCTGCGCCGTCTTTCATATAGTAAGTGATGCTCTGTGGAAAGACTGAAAGTAAGTCTGGCCCTGCAGGGAGACGGTTTAGTGCTTCATGTGTTAGACTGAGAACTCAAACCCATGTTGAACACCCAGCCTCTGCTGGGTGAAAACCAACAGATTCAGCTCTTTGATGTCTGCTTCCCAATGAGCTGAGGGTGGTGGTACTGAGGAGTAATGCACACGGTTATTGATGTAATCTAATGTTAAAGTTGGGTGCTAATAGCCATTGCTAAAAGTCAAAAAAATGAAACCAAAAGAAAAAAGCCTTCATGCAAATTTCCTGAAGGTTGGTTTAGTTCTGATTGGGATTAAAATCTGTAATGAAGAATTCTCTGTGAAAGGAGCTACCTCTGGAACGATCTCGCAGATCATCTACTGGCTGTGGTGTCCTGGAAAAAAATTAGGTCGCACTGTTTCAGACATCAGCCTGACCATTACAGAAAGATTGAAATGTGAGAGCAGCTGCTATTTGATCCAGGTTAATGGGCTTCGGTAGCTTACTCCAGCTTCTCTTTGTGCCTCTAAGTGCTACGTAATTCACGAGTGTAATCGCAGCTTTAGCACAAAGATACTTTCCGTCTTAATGTAAAGATTATAAGAGTAAAGGAACTCAAGCTTTTTAAGCAAACTTTAAGCAAAAGCTAGAAAAACAGAAGAGATTTATGTTTTTCCCCACTTCTATTCTCATTTATTCCCTCTCCATGCACTTACATTGCGAATGCTTTGCTGACCTCTTGTCCTGTGCTAAGACTCCTGCTGTGGGATGGAACTGTGCATAAGCCAGCACTCCCCACTGTTGCTTCACAGGTGCCTTCCAAAATGTTGAAGGGTGTTTCTAGTTTTGTTTTAAAAACTGTCTAGCACTCTAATCAGGTGCATCTGGCCTGGGATGCACCACTGACAACAGTTGTCCTCTGTGTTGGTACAGACTTTCAACTTGTTAAATTTTTACTGCTTGTTAAAATTCATCTGGGGATGATGTGAAGGATTTGTCTCCATGTGGAGGTGCCTGTGTCATCCAAAGAGAACCAGGTCTTTAGGCAAGGAGGGCCAGAAGTATTGGTGTGTGACGGTGGTGGGGAATGGTATCTACTACTGGCATTGCCACTTCATCTTGGATTTGTGTAATGAGCTTGTTAAATCCGCTTGCGTTGACTTGAGGGAGAGGGGAATGAAGAAAGTTTCAATTGCATCGGTGGCTTTAAGCTGTGTATGCGTTTTGCCTCCCTTAGGAGGTGATGTGATGGGGTTGGGTTTTGTGTCAGACTTCTCTGCAGTTTGTTTTTGTTGCTGTATTGCAAATGCCTTTGTCGAATGGGCAGCAATGGGAATGGGAAATCTTATGATTGTGCTTTGCTGTTAGATAGGCACAAGCATAGCCAAAAACCAAACTGGATCCAACTCCATAATTGCAATCCCTTCCAAAAATGAACTTTCAAAAGTAAATATAACTTGATTAATCTGTCTCTTCACAGAAGGGGATTGTGATCTAGCAGTTTCTCTTCTCTCACTGAAGCTGATGCGTTTATTCGTCCTTCTGTATTTGCATGATTGCTTATGTTTTCTAAGTATGCTACACTTTTTTTTTGGCACAGCTTCTGAATAAAAACTCTAAAGGGTAAAATATTGGCGAATAAGTGTCACAAAGATATGGTAGATTTCTGTAACTACCTAAATACATTCTCTTGGAGTATGTGTGCTTACACGTAGAAGCAGTCCGTCACATCGTCAACGGACTTAAAGCTTGGGTGTCCATGCTCGATATTCACTGTGTCCTTGGTGTAAAATCACACGTGTGCTTATTTTTCCATTAGAAAATACATAGCTATAGTCTCATACGAGCAACGCCAGAGTTACAAGGATGACTTCAATGCAGAGTATGATGAATACAGGAACTTGCACGCTCGGATAGAGCACATCACCAGGAGATTCATGAAGCTTGATGCACAACGGAAGCTTCTTTCTCCGGGGTCCAAAGAATATCAGGTAAAGAAGGATAAAACTCCTCCAAAACTCTGCATTTTCAGCACAGGCAGACTCTGCAGTATATTTATCTATTAAGTTATACTGACGTGGTTTTAAAAGACTTGCCAGGCTCAATGTCTGAGACTGAGTAACCGTTCGCATAGCTGGCATTGCCAGACTGGCTGAGACTTTGCTGACTGCCTCGCGTGCTGGCGAGGTGAGGGAGACGTGTTACACAGATGGGGGAGAAGATTGGAAGCGTGTGTAAACCTGCAGCCATAATCCCAAAGCTTTCCTGACCCTCTATTTCCCGTGATTTTATACACTTAACTAAACCTACAGCCACAGCATACTTATCTTCCAGCTGGCTGACCCTAGCTACAATTTTAGCAGAGAAGGATGTTAAAAACACAATAATTCTGGCTTTCCAACCCGGACTTCTCTGATTGGACTTAAAAATTCTACATGTTCACTATCAGAATTCCTTAATTCCGTGTGCATGCTGAGGATTTTTGGTTGGCTTTTATTTAGTTTTTGGGCGGATTGCGAATGTATTTGTGAGCAGCAGTATTTTAAAATCCCTGTTCAATCAGAGAGAGGGAGACCTTGCAGAATTTGCAGGCATGCTCAGACCCTGCCTGGGCTGGCTCTGATTCTCAAAGCTTGACAAAACCCTGCAAAAAGTTGTTTAGCTTTCAAACTCCGCTTGTTTGAGCTGTCTGTGAATGCACAGCAGCATGAGTGACCTATCAAAGGGAATCTTCAAACCTATGCTGCTTTTGCTGCTTGTCTACAGGTTTAGTTGCAGATCTTGGGTGATATGGGGGAGGAGGATGGGTGTTTATTTTTGGAATGCAGGAGAGGGGTGGCTCATGGAGAAGAAAATATCAAGTAAAAACGAGTGTATTTTTAGTGTAAAATTTGTATTTTATGTAAATGTAATTTTATGTAAATTTGCTTTTTCTGGTATTAGTGAAATGTTCTTCATATTGTCTTCATGGTTTTTTTTTTTTTTTTTTCTTGAAGATCCTTCATGAAGAAATCTTAGAAGAGTATCAAAAGTTAAAACAGGTATGTGTAACACCAGTCTGTGGGAGGCAGCAATCACTGAAACTGGCTCAGGGCTAGCTTTAAGCAGAGGACATGAAATGCTGCTCTGCAGAAATGTTTTCCTGCCCTAATTTTCTTTTTATCCTATCTTTACAGTCTAGCCCAAACTACTATGAAGAGAAGTGTAGATGCGAGTATCTCCACAACAAGCTGTCTCATATTAAGAGACTAATAGGGGAATTTGACCAACAGCAAGCAGAGTCGTGGCACTAGTCGTCTTCTTCGACCAGGACATGTGAATGGACTGAACCTTATTTATTTAAAACTTAAGATTAGTTACTCTAAGATTCTAAAAATCGGTATTAAACTTTTGCGTTACAGAAGTTTCAGTATTAGCAAACTTAAGTTAATTATTTTTGTTATTGTTGATGTTGCTTATATGCATATTTAAGGCTGCTTTTTCTGGTCCCTTTTTTTTTCTTCAGGACTTATGTTTGTTCATTGAAATAATTTTATCAGTAGATGCTGGGGAACCAGTACCTCTACTGTGAAGTTGTGCACATTTTAAGAAAATATTGTAGCAAATCGAAATGCGTTTGGTTAAATTGTAAGGCTGTTTTCTGACCTTTCTTGTTCATGCAAACTCTTTGCCTTAAATGGTAGAAGGTTTAGAAATTTGCACAAAAAAAAAAAAAAATCACGTTGTTTTGGAGGGTTAGAGAGGCAAGTATGTGTGCTGTATACAGCCCGTTTTGTTACAACAGAAACTCACCCCTGCAACTTAAACCCCCCATTGCAGTGGTTGCCTTAAGGTGTTTGCTTGTGTATATTCAGTGTGGTTAAATTATTAGCTACACCGCTTCCCCCTGTGCTGAAGCAGCTGGGAAGCACGAGGTGGCCTACCAGTGTCTGGGAGTGTGTGCTTGTGCTGTGTGTGTGTGTGCGCGGGAATGTGTGGGTGTGAGCACGCGTGATGGGGAAAAAAAAAAAAAAAAGCTGCTACTCTAAGTACGCCAAATGCTCAGGTTAAAACAACTGACGAGTGTTGCTGTAGGTTTTTCCTATAAAATTGCTACTTTTATTGTGGAAGAGGAGAGCATTTCCATTTCAATAGTTTGTCAGCTTTAATAATATTGGGGAGATAGATACTTTACAAAAATGAAACAGGTATATACTTCTGGGGCAAGATTACAAAATTAAACATGTAGGTTACCTATTTATATACTGCTATAAAGTATTTTTTGAAGAGAGATATATAAAGAAGCTATTGCCTACATGAAATATATATTTAAAGATTTTTGTCCTGGGTGCCAGGAATATAACAAAGAACAGATGTATTTAACTATAAAATACTGTGATCACCAAACAGCACAAACTTTCATTTCACGCTTTTCTTTTTGTTTGTTTATTTTGATGTAAACCGTTGCTTACTTTATCATGGGAAAGCACAGGTTATTTGGTCAAAATTGAGCAAAATCTTTGTTTGTCGTACTGTGTTTGTCTTTTCAAAATGCTGCCAACTGAAAAGGGAAGCATTATGTTTACAAATCTGATTTTGGAATTTTTTGCCAAAATTTTGGTAGTACTGCTAATAGTCTATCTCCAGCATCACAAAAACCCAACCCTGTTGTGTATCACTGCAAAACTGAAAATGTTTGATTGCCAGAAACATGCATTCAGGTAAATGGTAGCAATTGAATTTTTGCCTTAAACTTAGGGGTTCAAAGATGCTGCTTTCGTGGAGATGGAACAGCAAGCGAGGTGCATCCCTTTCTGCAGCGTGACAGCAATATTTGTGTTACTTACTTGAGACTGAGCTGACTTTGGGTCCCTTGGGCTAGTACAGTTGGTTTTGACTCCACATTTCAAATGACAAAATGAAGAGAAGACTTCTTGCTTCCTGTGAAGAGCTGCATTCTTCTGGCTTTTAACCACCGCATTCAGTCCTGAGCGTACAGACGCAGTCGTGCCCGGGTGTAAGCGCCGGGGCTGTGCAGTTCGCTGCAGTTCCGTTGCCACGGCGCCGCGTGGTTAGCTTTCAACCTAGCAACAAACTGGCTCTTCAGGTTAAGATAATGTGAAGTTCCTGGTGTTGGGACCCATTTCGGCAGGTCAGTGCTCTTTATCTAAACTGCGTGCCTGGACCTGACGTTGTCTGCCGTTGCGGGACACGGTGTGGGGATCACTCGTAGTGCTGTCACCGCGTACCCGAGACCCAGTGCAATGAATCGATTCCCCCCGCCTCGACCATTGACCTGTACTCGCGTGCACCCTCTGGTTTGCGGGCTGTGTGCCTCTTGCAGCTGGAGGTTCGTGCTGCTGCAGAGGTCCAGTACTGCATATCGTCGTCAGACCTGACAGGCTACTCTAAGGGCTTTAATTGAAGGTTTTGCCCATTTGCATTGAGCAGTTTTGAAGCCTTGCAAGTACACCCGACAGCCCGTGTATTGCGAAATAGTGCTGTAGATCTACACACCTCTCTCTTGTTTCCCTGGGGCTGATACTCCTGTTGGGCAGACGCTGAGAGCCCACTCAAGGGGGGCCTCTGGCTGTATTTTTGCCTTTCCTGTAAAACCGGCCTGCTCGCTCAGAGAAACAAACATTGCACGCGGCGGCGTCTTGGCTGGGGTTACACTACGACAAAGCTGAGGCAAATGATCGATGTCGAGAAGGGGCGACTGTGCAAGGCTCCTTCGGAAACTGTGAATCTCACTACAGTTCATAAAAAAAATATGCGGTCAAAAGGGAGGCAATAGCCCCTTCCAGTTGGCTGAAACAAACGTAGGGTTAGGAGGACTGTTTTCCAGTCTCGCTGGGGTTTGAGGGAGAAAAACTGTGCCCAAAGTAGTTGCAGATATGCTCTAAACTGTCACTTGAAGCAGCTGACTTGACTGCTTTTAGGTCTTCAGGTCACCTTGTCAGGTATCAAAAAAAAAAAGAAATACTGAAGTCTTTTGAAAGTAGTTTGTAAAACACGTAGATGTCTTGGAAGCAAGTTACTTCAACAGGTTTCAAACAGAAATTAGGTTAAAGTGTTGATATTGTAACTTTTCTTCTTTGTTAGCTTTTTTAAAATAGTAATGTTATGACCATTATTTCTAGATACTTAAATGTTGTTTCCTGCAAAGACCTGTGGCTGCTTTGAAGCATAGTTCTTTTGATAAGTTTACTATCATTTGTTCCTGTACCTGACAGGGGAGGGATGTGGCCAGCAATGCCATAACCTTTTGGGGAAGGGTATGAAATTGATTAAGGGACGAGGATATTTGTGAACTTAAAAGTTCACAGGCTTAAAAGAGGGCTGTGAATCCCCCTTTCTGACTGTGAGAGTATTTTACAACTTTTTCAATTGTTTCCATACAAACTGTATTACGACTCTGTACGTGAAACATCCTGGGGCGTTTTGTTAATGGTGAGCCATTGTTGCCCCTCTGTTCTACATCAATTTAAGTTCAATAAAATGTTAACTTTGCAATCCTGGGACTTTGGTCTTTCCGTGTCTGGGTGCCGGGGGGGTGTCCTGCACCCCTGCAGTCCAGCAGCGCAGCGTGTGCCACCGCGGGGACTGCTGCTGCTGCACTGTGGGAGCGCGGGGTGAATGCTGCTGCTGTGGAAGGGGCGCCTGGGGTCACCACACCATAACGTCCTGCTGCTGATGGATGAAGCGTGCAAGAGTGCTGCTGCCCGGTGTCGGCAGGGAAATGAGAACGATGTGCGTTCAGGAGGTGATTTGTGGTGCCAGCCTGTTTGAGGGAGCGTGCTGCTTCAGTTAGAGCTGAAGGCAAACGCACGCAGGTGTGTTCCCTGCAGGGTGTCCTCCGTTTCTCACTGCTTGCCCTCTTTTTAACTCATGTTCAATACCCTGCCTCTTTCACTTGCCTTTCCTACGCTGGCAGATGAGCTGTGTTCCTTGTCTTCTGGTGCTGGGGCCGATTTCATGTTTTTCTCACTCATCCAAGTTTTGGACTCCTGTCTGTGCTGCTTTATTGCAAAGCAGAGGGCACAGTCCTGGCAAAACACTTCAAGCGTTGGAACAGGCTGCCCAGGGCAGTGGTGGAGTCACCATCGCTGGCAGTGTTTAACAGACGGGCAGACGTGGTGCTGAGGGACACGGCTTAGTTGTGGACTTGGCAGGTTTGGGTTGATGGTCTTACAGGTCCCTTCCAACCAAAACGATCTATGACGTTCAGCAAGCGCAAGTGTCTGGGAGCTGTCACAGCTGCGGTGTTTTTCCCCTGCCAGTGCTCGCACACCGCGCGGGGAGGGAAGCAGCAGCATTGTCTCGGGTCTGGCTGTTGGCTGGACCACCAGGGCTTTCTCTGCCGCAAGGATTGCTTGTCTGTTACTCCCTAACTGTTGGGCACAAGGTGGCTCCATCACTCAATTGTTGTTTATAAATATGAAACTGATGGATGGATGTGGGTCTTACAAGTCGATATCCTTATTGTGGTCCACATTTCACTGTGTCCATAAACTGTTTTAGGATGTGACATTTCCACGTACTTAACAGGCCCATGCATTTCTGGCTGGCATTTCAATCCAGATCCCTGAAAACCAAACCAAAACCAAAACACTTCCTTGAACAGGGAAAAAAAAACCTCGCCTCTCTTCTTAAAACCTTAAAAAGTTACCAATCCGGTAAGTTATAGTTTCCTGAAAGGTGGAAATCTGCTGTACATCCCTGTTAAAAACCAGTTTTTAAGCACTAAGCTGTTGGCTTCCATTAGAATATACATTTTGCACCTGCGTTTGCTCAAGACAGTGGTGTTCTGAGAGCTGCCGCCGTCAGTACGCTCCGCACAGCCGGGATCCAACTCCTCTCCTGAACTCCCAGTGCCCTGTAGCGCACGTGTTTCTACACCATGTTCTGTTTCAGCCCTGGTCCTGAAGCACATTTATGTTTTCCTGAAAGTGATATGCAGAGGCTTAAGGGTTGATGTTAAGCGGGTGTAGAAATAGTCCTATTTTTCACTGAGCCGAAGCCTTACGCAGAAGGGTCGGAGGCGGCGGAGGGCTGCCCACAGCAGGAGGGCTGCGACTCGGTGCGGGGTCCCTCAGCCCAGGTCCCTGCCGCTGGCTCTGCGCTGACTTCATGTCCATCTGGGCATGGCCCGTGGGATGTGTGGGTGGGCTTGCACCACCTCCGAAGGTGCCAAAGGCGTCACCGTTAGAGCTTCCTCTAAAGCCTCTGCCTGAAAACATGGCCTTAAGAAAATGGGAAGAAAACTATTCCCTGGGTGTCACGCTGAAGATGCAACCGTGATCAAGACCTC